CAGCCTCATAGCCAGGGATGCAGTTGCAGGAGGTGATAATCTAAAGAAGAAATCTCAAGCCAACTCCTCCTGCAGAGCTCAGCCCACTTGGGTTTCCTGATCTGTGCACCTGACAGTTACAGTTCTGCAAGTTCAAGAATAGCTCCACTATTATAAAAAGCATAAATAAAAAGTGCTGAATATAGTTTTATCTTTAAAAAAATACTAGATAAGGCTCATAAAATCATTTTGCCTCACCTCTGCAAAATGATTTCCACTCCTAGTGTGCCTAGGACTCTGCTCCTTCTCCATCAGATCCTATTCCTTCTTCCCATTATTGCATGTTAAAGAAAAGAGCTCCAAAGCAAAAAGCCTCACACTGGGACAGCTCAGCAAGTAACCAGTTACCACACAACTGGTTAGTCCTCCTGGGAAACCCGTAAGCAGCTCCACAGCAGTGACAAACAACTCCTGCAGGTTCAAGTCAAAGAGAAATCCCAACGAGATAGCACAAAATCTGCTCAGACCAAATCAAACCAATACTCTATTTTACAACATTTACAGACTGAGTCTTAATTGCCATGAACACATTTCATTGGGATCTGAATCCTTAGCTGAGTTTGCTCCTCTTTCCTGGCAAAGCCCTCTCACCTGGATTGGATGAAGCTGGACTAGGGCAGCATCCAAAAGGGATGAGATATTGTTCAAACCACCAGAGGACAACAGGTCAGGCAGAGTTTGGAAATGAAGACATTCCCCATTTCCACTTTGGACCACAAAAACAACGTAAGACAATCATGAAAAGTTCCCCAGAGGTTCTCCCTCCACTCCCAAGGAAATCCCACCCTAACCAGGACGTAATTCTTCACTGTCCATTCCTCACTGACCAACGCAGCAAGACTTTGCCAATGCTGAAGTTTGGATAATATGCTCCTAGACTGCACCACAGAGAACAGAAATGTAAACATTACCCTTGGGTTTGCTCTTTTTCAGTCAGAGCACAGCACAAACCCTTTGGCCCAACTGGTTCTTTCATTGGGCTTTGTTGTTTTGTTCTTTCATAAAAGCACATACAGTAAAATATGTACAGAGAGAAGTTAGAAATATCTGAAAGCATCTTTTTTAAAAAAAAAAAAAAGGAAACAGGAGACTTAGAATATCTTGAGTGTGCTGAAGGCACCGTTGCTCCTCCACTGGGAATGTGTCCTCTCAGTTTCCAGCCTGCAGTATCCCATCCTGTGTTACTCAGCACCAAGAGTTGGAAGGTTTCCATGGAACTTGAGGATGTTCAGGGCCTAGGTTAGGATATTCTCTTCAAGACAACAGTGGAACTAGACAATGCCAGGCAGTGCTACTAGACAGTGCAGTAGCAATTCAAGTCCAGATTCTTCTGGAGCACTTGGAGATTCTTTATAACGTTATAGTCTCTAATGCTGCCACTTATTCCAGAGAACCAAACCAAAACAGTAAAGAAAACCAACTAATGGATGATTCCCACCACGAAGAACTGCAGAGCTATCAACTAGCTCAGCTCCAAGACCAGAGCTCACTGTAACAACCAACTGATGCTCACCCAGGCAGTTTGTGGGTGTTTCCACAGTGATGACAGCCAAGGGCAGCCACTGTTCAAATGGGCACGAGAGAGAAGTGTATATATCAAAAATACTTTCTGTAACTAGTTCCATCTATCAATACAAAACATCCTTCAGGGGTGTTTTTTGCAAGTAAGGAGGAAGTACTAAGTGCTGTCTGGATGGGGAACTGTTCTGGGCAAGATGCACTGATGTGTTGAGGCTCACAAAGAGGAGCCTTTTATAAAGAACAACCTTTAAAGCCTTTCTGTGCATAGCAATGTTCAATGGAGTTACTAACACACAAAATGACACAGGGTATTTAATGCCACTTTGCTGCTGCCACTTTTTCTGTGATGGATCTACATTCAACCTACCACGGGATTGGTAAGTTAGAGGTTACAATCAAATCTGCAGATGTGGTTGGTGGTATCAGTCAGAAACAATCCATTTTCACACTGCTCATTGGAAGGGAATTCACACTGGATCACACAATCAGAGCCTAATTGTTCCACTCCTACTCTTGGTGGACAGGAATCCTTTCCAGCCCTCAGGTCTGACAGGTACAAACTCTACCCATGACACATGTCCAAGGTGGTGACCACACTGGTGAGCCAAACCCTTCGAAATCCAAGGCTAGAGAAGGGATACTGCCACACTCCATTCCCATGAGTCTTGTTAGATGTAGACACTCAAAATTCTTCTTCTTCAACAGCAAAGTTATTCTGCTTCTTCCGAACATTCCAGTGCAAACATTCGGCCAAACTTTCGAACCAGTCGCTCACAGGGTCTCGGAAACAGATGGAAGGAAGGGGATAGCAAGAGGTAGTGATGCTAATACTGCAACAACACAGAACAGCCCAGTCAGTCAAGGGCAACAAACAGCAATTTAAACAGCAGCAAACCTTCTCTCCCCAGCGAGCACAGAGCTGTGTTCGGCCAATCTGCTGCAACAAGTTTCCATAATCGAGCAACAATCAGGTCTACAAGCTCCTCTCAACAGGGTGAATGAACACAGGGCTCAAAAGGGTTAACAGATGCACTCTGGGCAGTGCTCTCTGGCACAGGGAGAACACTGAACCTGCTCCAGGATGTCCTGCAGCCTTTGCTGGTCTTCACATCAACCACTCGGGGAAAAAGGAAAACCCAAGGCACCTCTGAGTGTCAAGTTTTAACTATGAACAGCACTAAGTAGTCTAGAATGAACAAAGTGCCAAACCTCGTGTCTGAATCCTTACTAGCCTCCTATAGATGTTTCAGCCTCAGAGGAAACACAAACAGTTCAGGAGGCAGTGCCATGTCAGTTATAGACTTTCCTTCATGGCAACTTGTGTGGGTCAGAAGAAACAAATCATCCTGAGTACCAACCCTACCAGTCACCTGTCCCACAGCTGCCCTGAATCTCCTCCCAGGAGGATAAACCACCACAAAAAAACTGAGGAGACTTCACACCCTGCATTCTGTTCAAGGCACAACCCCTCACCAAGTGCACCCAGGACAAACCCTCAGAGCTACAGCTCACACCCAGCTCCTCTTGGCTGACATTATCTGCTACTCCCAATGTTTCCCTAAAGCCATGTCCCTCCTCCCTGCCAAGCATGCAATGGTCACATGCTGTATCTGAACACCTCACCTGCTTTCGTGGGAAGACCTAAAGAACTCAATCAGAAATCAAACAGCTTTAGAGCAGTTTGTGCTGTAAGAGCTGTTAGGGTTTAGAAAAGTTTGTTTCCTCACTGGAAACAACTCTTTGGCAGGTGTTAGAGAATGTGGGAAGGGCATGAATCAGGATTTTTTTTATACTCAGAGATACTACAATCAAAAAGAGGCTTGACCTGTCTCCATGGCATATTTCCTGCCTCTTCCTTCCATCAAAGGACACCCATGCTGTGTTCCTGGCATCTGGGGAGAGCATGATCTGAAAAAGAGACAAGAACTCAACTTCAAGTCCAAAATCTATTTCTCAAGAGGAACAAACACCTCATCCACCTCCCTCCGAGTACAGAATTGTACATCTCTTCCAAGAAAATAACAAAGATAACCCCCAAAAATAGATTTTACTATATAATGAATCCAAAGCTGTCAAATTCAGGAAGTTTTTTGCTCGTATTTCTCATTCTTGTTGAGAGAAATGAAGTGACTCTCACAGGCCAATGACACCCACTGACACAAAAGGAACTGGACTGAGAGCAGTGCCAAAGTGCTAACTTTCTAATACCTCTAGGAAAGCCCTTCCAAACACAAGAGCTCTCCTCCAGCTGAAGTAGACTGGAGGTTTGGAACAGAGACAAGGAGAAAAGGCTTTTGCCTTACCCAGTGGTGCTACAAATGCACATCAACTAAGGCCATTTTACATTCAGGCACTAAATGCCTTTTTTTTTGCACAGCAGCACCAACACAGGTTTAGAGAACTGCAGACAGTGCTACCAATATACTAAATATGTGCAGTATCTGTTGGTTCAGCCATGAAAGCAGAATTTTTCATTTTTTATGAGTTATATGATGTCAAATGTCAGAATTTTTTTTTTTTTATGAGTTATATGATGTCAAATGTTGTCAGAATACAGATGTAGGAATTCCCTCCTTGCAGAATGTAGCACACAGCTACAAGCCTGTAGGAACCAGTGTAAAACATTCTGCTAGTGAGTACATTCCCCTAAACAAAGACACATTCTTCACCCAGCCTTGCTGTGATCCTCCCACGCAGGCAGGGGACACACAGCACCTCCCCAACCTCCCGTGCTCGGGCTCACACGCTCAGTGCAAAGAGAAAAAACAGCACAGAACCCAACCTTGAGTTCCACTCCAGCAGGAACAACAATAGGCCTGAAGGACAAGGAGTGAGGGCAGATGGGGGTGATCATGATGGCAGGAACGTTGGGGTGGATCATGGAGGCTCCTGCCGCGGCCGCGTACGCGGGGCTGCCGGTCGGCGTGGACACGATCACTCCTGGGGACAGCAAACACTGTGCTGTTAGCACTGCAACCCATGGCTACCTTGGGAGACACTGAGAGACCCCAGAAAGGAGGCAGAGTGTGGGGCATTTCCCAGAGCAGCACCCACAGAGGCAGAGACTCTGCTCACACACTTGCCCTGTGGTTTCACGCGAGTTGCATAAACTTCTGGATCTCAGGTTACATCATTTTGTAACAGTGACTTTCATTTTTTTTTAATGGTAAGAGCTTTAAAGATTAACTCCTGTAGCTCATGAGTGGAGACTTCTGGCCTTCAGCAAATTCCGGATATCCAAGCAAGTATTTTCTGAGCTATTTCGTGCCCTTAGCCCTAAGATGCCCAAAGCAACTGCCACATGCCTTCACAAGCCCCTGAACAAAGCTCACAGCACCTCAGTGCTTCACTGTGGAATGCACTGGTTACCAGTGAACAAACACATTCTGTTTGCTGTCAGCACTGAGCTGAAGCTTGAGATTTAGTTTCCATGTGAGAAAATCCTCCAGGAAAATAACAACATCCTATGCCTGAACTGAGAAGCAATTCAAGCCCAGAGACACTCACCATCTCCCTGCACTGTTGTTATCAGGTGTCCATCCAGAAAGACATCAACATTGGACAGGTAAGAGGAAGGACCACGATCCACTACAACTTCGTTCAGGACCTGCCAAGACATCAAACATTAGTCCATTATTACTCCCTTGGCAATGGAACAAGTGACAAACCAAAACATACTTGGAAAAGTCCATGCTGATTTAGTCCCTGCCAAATTAGACCCTTTACACTTCTGCCTTATCAAGTCCCTGCAAGTTTTTAGAGGTTAGAAATCACTTCCAGCAGCTCTGGAAATTACTTGGCTTTTAGAACAGAAGGAAAATATTCCTGCAGCAAAGCACATCAGCACTCACAAGGGCCCACAGTGAATATATGCAACACCTCCTCATCACTTAGAGCCCATCCTGAGCTGGAGCAGCTGGGCTAAGGCAACTCAGGAAAAGGGAAGAGTGATAATAAAACCAAGACAAAGCAATTTACAATCAGCACATTAGTTCTTTTGCCTTCTGACCTGATACTGCATAACCTGCTTGCCCACTTCTTTCTCTAGGTTTGCAGACACCATTCCATTTTCTTCTATCCCATTCTGTACTGTCATCTTCTCCCTGTGCTCCTTCACCACTTTCACTTTCAGTCTGCTCCGGAGCACCAGAGCTGCATTGCCTGGAGTGAAACACACACAAAGGACACGCTGAGCCAGGAAACAAACCCCAGCAACCAGCAGGAAAATGCTTTGACATTCCCAGTCCCATCCACGAGGTGATTTGCTACACTTGGTTAAAGCTCAAAACTGATTTTTAGTAGCAATGAGCAAAATTAAAGTCAAATTTCCACCCAGTCCCCTCCCTGAGTATTTGAGCACTGCTTGGAGATCCAGAGTACCACAGAGCTACACTGTTTCTGTGTTCACTGCCATCTCACACTTGTTCACTCCATGGTTATTTCTTAGCCATTTTCCTTTAGAGAAATGCACAGAAAAAGCACAATGCAACACTTCAGTTAATTCAATATACACTTCTCAAATCTCAATCCTAAGACAGAACCTAAATGAGTTGGTTAAGAGAATGTCACTTGTCTTGGCAAAAGCTACAGCAAATATAACACAACCACCACACTTTGTCCCCTTCAACTTACCTTCTATAACCTGAGTGACTTGGGACTGGAAATTCTCAAAATTAAATGGAGTAAGAAATCCAAGGGATCCCAGATGAAAGGCCATAACTGGAGGAACACTACCCTATCAACAGGGAAAAGAGTTTTAAAGCTACTGAGTCACAGCAATTCATACTTCAACTTATTGCCTGGAAGTACTTTGACTATTGACACAACTGTGCATCATAAAATCAACATATTTTACACTATTTGCAGGGTTGATAAAAAAAAAGGATGAACAGCAAAGGACAAATGCTGAACTCAACAACAAAGGGAAGAAAATCAACGTTCAAATACTTCAAAAATAAAAGGTTTATAGGTCTATTTCCCACAAGAACCAACCTGGAAAAGTGAAGAAGCATAAAGTAAGGTCCCATCTCCTCCCAGGCATATGATAAAGTCTATTTGGTTGGAGATATCATCATAATCTGGAAGCAACAGTGAAACACAAATTTTGAATCCATTTTTCTCAACAATGCTAATTTTCTAGGATAAATTGAGCACAACAAGCCAACAGCACTCACAGACAGAGAAACCACAGCTGAGATGTACAAGACACAGTTCAGCAAACAACCCAAGGACTAAGGAAACACCAAGACAAAAAAGCAACAAACTCCAACTGTATTTTCAATCCATCGTTCCCTTACCTTCTCTGAAGGTGCAAAATTTCTTCTTCACTGGTCCAAAATTCTCATCATTAGCTATTGCAGGGTCTTCCAACACCTTTTTTTCTACATACACTATCATATTGTTCACCTTGAGAGAGGGAAGATAGGCCTGTTAATAACCTAAGTCGACACACATTTGACTCTCCCCATCATTTGCACTTGTGTAAACATGTAAATGAGATTTTCCAGCAGTGCTCTGCTCCTCCTGGTTGTGTTGAAGCTGTGGTCTAAGTCTTATGAGAATTTTGCAGCATGCAAATAAATAATAAATATAGTTAAGAAATGAACCTGAGGTCTGCAAGAGATTACATGAGGCACTAACATTGCTGTGTTTGTTCAAGGCTTAAAGGTTTAAGCTTTTTCTATCCTATTTCCCTGTCATTTAGAACTGCAAACAGAATGGAAGTTTTTACTTGGCTTTTTTGGCTTCTAAGCTTTGTACTTGAAGTATTTCAGTACTGATATTAGCTCTGAAAGGAGTTTCACTCCTTCCAGTGGCCACGGATCCAACGACCTGTTTGCACTGCACAGTTCAGGACAATCAGAATCAGCTACTGAACACAGTTCAGCTGTGGCTTCCATGTCCTTACCTCAGTGAGGTACACACAAAGCTCTTTGAAAGGCTGGAGCAGACTGGCATCACGGATCTTCTTAATCACAAGGACACTCTTGGGAGGTTTGTTCCATGTCAACCGTTGGCTGGCTGGGTCCTGGATGTGCCTGGAGAGGGGAAACCCACAGTGTTAACACTGTGCCTCGACTCCTTCTGATCTGCTGAGAACATAACCTTAATCACAGCATCAACAGGGTTGGGAAAGACCTCCAAGATCATCAAGTCCAACCCTACTGTGGTCACTAGACCATGGCACTAAGTGCCACATCCAGTCTCATCCTGAAAACCTCCGGGGATGGTGAATCCACCACCTCCCTGGGCAGCACATTCCAATGCCTGATCACTTCTCTGGAAAAAATCTCTTCCTAATATCCAACCTAACCCTCCCCTGGCAGAGCTTGAGTCTGTGCCCTCTTGTCCTGCTGCTGGTTGTCTGGGAGCAGAGACCAACCCCCACCTGACTCCAACCTCCTGTCAGGGAGTTGTAGAGGACAATAAGGTCTCCCCTGAGCCTCCTCTTCTCCAGGCTGAACACCCCCAGCTCCCTCAGCCTCTCCTCATGGCACTTGTGCTCCAGTCCCTTCTCCAGCCTCGTTGCTCTTCTCTGGACCTGCTCTAGCACCTCAATGTCCCTCCTGACCTGAGGGGCCCAAAACTGAGCACAGGACTCAAGTAGGAAGAAGAATGCAGGAATTCACATTGCCATGATGCTCCTGGGCCCAATCAATGCTCCACCACATGCTGATAACACAGTGTTAAGGTGCAATAATTCTTGTACCTGCTGCCATGTAAACAACATGTGCAAACAGGGATTGAACAGAAGCAGCACAAAAGCTCCTGGATCAAGTTCTTCAGCTACCTGACACCTTCCCTGCTGCTTCCAGCCACAATGCCTCCCTCTACCTTGTTTTACTGCTCTCCCCTTAAGCTGACTCAGAGGAGAAACACTCAATTATAGGATCAGAAGAAGCTAGAGCACAAATTTGATTCCCATCCAATACTACAAGTCCAACTGCTTAAATCAATGTAAACCTCAAATTACTTTTATTTTAGTACATTCTACATCTACACACTACAAACTGTAGGTTAATGCAGGACTGTGACACCAACAATGCTGACAAGAACTCAAGACTGCAGCACTGCCCTGCACTGAAGAAACCTAGAACTGACACTGATTGCATTCAAACCCAAGCCAGTGCCTGCTCCAGCTGTACTCACCCATTCCATGGACTTCTGCTACAGGAAAGGTTATTCATAACACGCTTCAAGATCTTCATGTTTCCCTCCAGGAGTCAAGAAAAATGCAACAGCTCCAAAAAAATAAAGGCCTGAGGCTTTTAGCACTTATTACTAAGCTGCAACCTCAGAAGAAAACATATTTTTCCCTATTTAAGTATTTCAGTCAGTGCCAGTAAAAAGCTTCACAGAAAAATCCTGTGTAAAATGTTTATCACAGATCTTCAAGGCAAGATTTCAATGAGGAAAATCCCAGTTCAAAAAAGAGTTTAAATCAGGTAGTTGACCTCCCTTTTCTCTCACCAAATCAACACCTGATCCTTGTCTTACTGAGGAGTCACTTAGCTCATCAGAAGACTTCAGATAGCAGGTTTTCAAGTTCTAGTGCTGATGGTTGTGTTGAAAGAGACACCAAGACCTTCCCTAATCTATGCCTGCAGATAAAACTACAATCCTCTCTTAAACAACCTCTCTAGTGAAGCGTTTAACAGTATCCTCCAAGCAAAACACAAGCAAAAAGGTTTTGCTTATTTCCAGAAGCCACAATAAATCCTTAGCTGCAGTCAGAATAGCAATTCCCAATTTGGTCTTCAAACAGTCCTTCCCCTGATGATCTGAGAGCACCTTTGCTCCTGAGCTCTTCTGCACAGTGCCCAGGCAGCTCCTCCCTGGCACTGAGTGCTCTGTGTCGCTGCAGGCTCTGCACTCAACAGCTCCTGGCACTGCCCTTATAGCCAGGGTGCAGGGCCAGCCCCGGGGGAGGAGCTGCTCCCCAGTCAGGTGGGTAAACACAACCCCAGCTGGGTTTCAGCTCAGCTGCAGCACTCCAGGCCACAGCAGAGAGAAGGAATGAGGAAGCTCAGCGTCAGCGTACGCCGCGAGACCTGCGTCACACCTTCGCAGGAAACCTCTGGGTATCACCAGCCTGTCTGGAAGGAGCCTATCTACTGAGGCAAATGTTTGGGTAGATAATATGGACTCAAATACATGAGGTTTAACTGAAGGAACAATGGAAGAAAACTTTTTTAAAGGGATAAAAATAGAATCACAGAATGGTTTGAGTTGGAAGGATCTCAAAGCTCATGGGCAGGGACACCTGCCCAGGGTGCTCCAAGTCCCATCCAACTTGGCCTGGAACACTCCCAGGGATGGAGCAGCCACAGCTTCCCTGGGAAATCTGTGCCAGTGCCTCAGCACCCCAAAATCAGGGACCACTAACTTGGTTACACCCTGACATTCCTCGTGTGACCAAGTCAAACATCATTTATTGAGTCTATCATGGTGTCCCAAGCAACACAGATACCACCCAACCTACAAAAGTGAAGTGTTGGTGTGCTTGCCAGGGAAAATTTCCTCATGGAAAGGGTTGTCAAGGATTGGCACAGCTGCCCAGGGCAGTGGTGGAGTCACCATTCCTGGAGGGATTTAAAAGCCACGTGGATGTGACACTTGGGGACCTGGTTGGCCTTAGCAGTGCTGGGGAATGTCTGGACCTGAGGATCCTACACAACCCTACACAAGTCTGTTGGTTTGGAAGGGTGGAGGACACACATGGCAAGTTTATTGTCCATTAGGCTGAAAGTGTTTATTATAGCTGCCATCACTGACATCAAACTATGGTCAGCACATTATGGCAGTTTAGCCACACAGAGCCCGAGAGGTTCATCAAGCAATGTGAAAATATCAGGTCGAACACTAACAGTGCTGCTTAGGGAGTGACATGGGGGAAACCAAACTGTTTTCCTCCACACAGAGCACAAACCCATCCCTCTGACAGACACTTACATAATCGTTTTAGGATTCTGCAGCATACAGGCCTTTGGTCCAAACGTGGTCACTGGGCATGGTCCGTGCAAGGAGCGCGTTCTCCTAGAGATAAAAACCAAGAAGTGAAAGAAATGTGATGACAAAGTGGGTAGATTTGGCTCCCCAACCACCAAACCCACTTCTTTGAAGGGACATACATAAGGTGTCCCAGTGTAGCCTTGACAATCATTTGAGATCAGATCTCCAACACCTTCAGATGGTTTTGTCATGGTCAAGTGACTGTGATGTGTCCTAGTCATTCAAACACTGTTTTTGTTGTTTAAATCTTTGCACTTAATGAATAGAACACAAATCCTTCAGTTCTCAGCACATGGAGATATATCTCTGCAGCACTAGTCCTCAGCTTTGAACAGACAGAAAAAAAATGCTATTTTCCCTCAATTCATCTATCCAATATGATCTCTGTCTTCAAATAAACAGGAGCTCTGAAGAGTCATTCACCCCCAGAGCTAAACCCCTCACAGAGCACAGGGTTACTCCTGGCTCCAGGATGGGATTATCTGCAGCAAGTCAGAGCTCTCCTGCCTCACCTCCCTCCCACCTCCTTTGGCAGACCTGGAAATGGCAGAAAACTCACTCAAGTCACGGAACTGCTGAAACATTATGTGAGTGCTGTTAGAATTACTCCATTAAAAAGGAGGGGGAAATTTGCCTTTCCTGTGCCTAATCCAATTGTCCTATTGCTTGGCAGGAACAGCCAGGGCTGCATTGCCTTCTACTGTGAGTATTCTCAAGCAGCTCAGACCAGCTGATGAGTCACTCTTACAGCTAAAAAAACCTTCAGAAATCTAATACAAATCCAAACCAGATTAGAGGTTAAAAAGACAGATCATTAAGGAAGAACAGCAACATCTTATTTGTTCCATGTCTGATTCAAGATGTTGTCCAAGAGTTGAATTCCAGTAATGAAAATGAGAATTGTATTTTGCTTTTCAAATAAAGTTTTTCCATTTCTAAGTCCAGGCATGACTAACCCAGTCAGGTAAAAGTATTACTAAGTGTTTTAGAAAGTTCACCTTATGTGTGCTACGCCAGATAAATAAGCAAGGACTGAGAAAAGGAGAGATTAACCTGTATGTCAACATGGGCCAAGGAACCATAGGTCTGAATCTGCTTGTGAACAACTGCACCTGAAATCAGCATGGTTAAGTAACATCCTGGCAGCATCACCTCCCACCTCTTGCTCCACTCCAGCTTCTCCCAAATAACTGTCGTCGTTTTTGCCTTCTTTCAACACAGGTCGTTGTTACTCCATGCCACTCCCAGAAGTTGGCTAAATTCTGTTCCCACACGAGGCATTAACTATCCACATCCAACCTGCATGGCATTCCAACAAAGCTCTCTCTGCAAGCTGTAATTAACAGCTGGTGTGTATTTCTGTTGAGATTTTGACTCTGCTTTATTAATACACTATCCCTGCACTACTCAGTGTGATGTCTGAGGGAAAAGAACTTAGCTGTTTGTAGTCTTTGCTAAGGAGGAGCAGCCATGCCCCGGAAATTAGACACTTTTAAGGAAGACACTTAAGTCAGTTCCAAACAGAATTTGGGCAACTGCCTCCATGTGAATAGAGCACAGTGAGCCTGAGAGCAGCTCCTGCCAACCTGCAAAATGCCCTGTGACAACCCAGCACTGCACTGGGGACAGGCATTGAGAGGCTGCAGAGCATCTTCACGAAGCTGATCTCAGCAACAGTTAACTGACTCAGACCCACAATGGACATACAAAGGTCATTTCCAGTTAAAAACGGTAATTATTTATCTAGAAGATAAAACTACACAAAACTTTAGACCATATGGTCTTCTACACAGGTTGAGTGAAGTCTACACTCTTAAAGGTTAACTGGAGAAGGGGAAACCCACCAGTTTTAGAGCACAGTTCAAACACAAAGTCTCAGGCACTGACCACACACACAGAGTAGCCAGAACAGAGCAGGCAGAGCTCAGCCCTCAGCAAACACTCCCCAAAGGCATTAAATACACCGAGCTAAATATTCTGAGCAAGGACTTTCCTAACCTTTCAGCCTCTCCAGACCAAGGCTGTTAGCTTGCCTCCCTTCACCACAAAGCTGCCCCCTGTGATCTGCAGCCTCACCCACACGTGCTCTACCCTGAGAACATTCCTACCAGCACAGCAGGAACCCTGGGCGAGAATTCCATCTGCTGAGAGCTTCCTCCAAGCTTTACAGAGGGCCACGAGGTGAGGAAGGTAAAATTCTGCTATGCCTCCCACAAGACCAAGACACACTGCTGCCCCAGCACACCATTCAGTGTTTGCAGCGGGTCCAAAGATCACTGAATCAAAAGTTCTGTCCACGGGCCAAGAGCCTTGCAGTGAGATTAGAGACTTGGCTGGAGAGGAAAATGGGTGTTTCTCACTGCTGTGAATCAAGTGCAAACACAAACTTACTTGTGCTGCCTCACGTACAACCTAAATACTCACAGGGTTTTAATTCACAGCATTTGTAGCAGTTTGCACAAGTGTCTCCACTGTTGATTGAGTCTTTCTTTGAGACTCTAATCTGCAGATACCTGTCTGACAGCAATGCCATTTTGATTAGCGTCTGCTCTTGGTCTACCTTCATTTTGGATCACCAACCTTCATTTTAAGTATCCCCAATGGCTATACCACAAGGAGTGAAAGTTAAAATCCAGCCAATTTCAGAGATTTGAGCAAGAAGAGGAAGAGCCCAGGGCCATACCTGAATTCTTTGGTGCTCCCCAGGGCGGGTGAGGCTGACAGGCTCCGCGATTTCGCCCGGCCCCGGCTCGTGCCGCTCCACTCCTCCTCATCCTGACACGCTGAGCAGTGGTACACAGGCTCTGAGCCCACCTCAGCCTTGCTGGGGCACAGCTTGTCTCGATTCATCTCCATACTGCAAGGGAAGGAACCTCAGCGAGCGAGAAATTCCTGTGGAAAAATCCCAGGAGAGGAGGGATGGGGAGGGAGAGAGAGGAAAAACCTCAGTACGAGCACAGCTAACAGCAAGTGTTAAACCCTGAGTTCACACACTTTGGCAAACACTTCCCCAAAGGATCTGGGGAATAGAGAACTTCTGCAAGGCAGTCGGAAGACACTGGAAGGAATAACGACCAGAACTCAAACCAGAGTGACTCAAACCAGAGAACTCAAACCAAATAATCAGATCTAGGAGAGGATCTGTACAAAGTTGTCTCAAGACCTGCACAGATTCACCTCTTCAGTCACATAAGGGATAATTAAATGTATTTCAGATACTGAGGAGGAAGAAAAGCTTTAAATACGTGCCAAGGAATCAAGGGTCAGGAAAAACTGTAAAGTCTCCTGTTAGGTGAGATATTGATTGAACAGACAAAACCTGAGCACACATATATTGAACAGATAAAACCTGAATATTCTAAGTTAGAACAGAAAAAAACCCTGTTAGAATAAGAAAAAAAAAAGCAATCTAAATAACCATAATAAACTTCAGCTCTTCAGAAAAATGAGGCTAACACCAAGTTGAGAACAAAAAAACAAGCTGGAGGACAATACCACAGCTTTTAACTCACTTGTACCAGACTGGGGAGATGATCCAAAACAAACAAGACAAAACAGGGACAGATGTGAAATATTTCACTTCCACGAACAAGCAGCACAACTGGAAGATAAACAGCAGGGCAGAGCACAGCTTTGCAGAAGTAAAAAAAGCCCCAAACTCAAACAAACAGCAAACTTGAAATAACTGCCCAAGTTCTAGAAATGGTGTATGGAAGTTTTCCTCAGTGCCTGAGGCAGCAGAATGAGCCTTATCAAACATAAATAGAAACCAACTTTCAGGGGATGAATAAACACCAAACGATAAACAAATAGTATCCAAGTGAGTGCAGTCTGGAGGAACAGCACATTCCCCAAGTCAGTTGATTCTAACACGGGGAAAACATTGGTTCATTAAAGATTTGCAGATGTTTTTAAAGCTGTTTCATCACTTCCCACTTTACGCTGTAGAGAAAGGACCATTTAAAGCCCTTCAAAGCCCATTTCAGTGGACTGTGGCTGTGGAAAATAATCACAGATCCTGCTGCAAAGGCCCCAGAGGATGACGTTGCCCACAATTTTACAAGTGCTGTTTCACAGCATCCCAACTTCCACAGAACCAAAGCACCAATAAAATGCAGCTGTAATTTTAGAACCAGCGCTGGCTCATTACTAAATTAGACAGAACTAGCAACTAATCAAATTAGGCAGTGCTTTTGCTCCTGCTCTATCTTAGGCTCCCCCTCGGAGAGCAGCACCACACAGAGGTACAATTACTGCCACCCAGTAATAATTTATGACATCCTGCACTCCTCAAGATATCGATGTTCAGCTGCTGGTTACTCACTGATCAGAGTCACCTCTGACCAGGACTTGGGAAATACTCATTTCAACACATTTGTAACTAAGATTAGAAAAATGTGCCTCTATTTTTAGCCAGTTCAAGCTCAATATGTATTTTGTGCCTCTTGGCTGACGAACGGAAGCAGAGAACAGTAATTTATGTAATGAGCAATAAACAAGGTGTGTGTGTGTGTGTCCATGTGACTTTGACTGAAGTATGTTCATCTGACAGATGCTGAGAGCAAAGAAAATGAGATTAGCACAAAACTGGAAGTAAGAAGGTGCACAGACCTACTAAATACAGCCTAAGAACTTGGTATTCCCTCCATGTAATACTTTCCAATTCAGGATGTTTTAACCACAGCTTACACCATGTACTGTTTAATTAACATCCCCTCACAAGACCTGTCTTAAATAAGCAGACTTGACATAAGGACAAAACTAGCACTGAACAGCTTCCAGGATTGGATCCAAAACTCTGAAGCACTTGCTAACAAACTAATGAAAAGGCTGTTCTGGTTTAAATCATGTCCAAAATTCAACCCCCCCAAAAAAACCCTAAGCATTTAGCTGTCCAGAGTGAAGGACAACTGAGAGTGTAAACACTTGATAAGAAACACCCATGATGGTGACACAGCACTCAGGTGAATCACCTCTCAGACACATCCACCTGCAGTTTTACTCCAGTTTCCCACCTCCAACTTCTCTGCCACTGGAAATTAGCACTCCCATGAACCACAGCTTCACAGACCATCTCTGTACAGGGGACACAACACCATTACAGCCCCAAAAGGAGTGTAAGGCTGAAAATAATCAATGGAGCTGAATATCTATTTTTTAAATGAGAATAAATCTGTTATTTCATAACAAACTTTTCCTGTCGAATGCTCTGCCCCAAATCCTGGTGGCTGGGGGGTTACTGTGAGGTCCATCCTGCCAAAATCCTCACAGGACTTTGCACACACCTTCAAGGCTCAGCACTTCCAGTGATTGCTTAGAATCAGTCAAAACTCCTCATTCTGTACACAACAGAACCTTGTGTTAGAGTCTGGGAGGACAATGTTCTACCCAAAACAGTGTCCCTTGCCCTGCTGCTGCAGGACTGTTTGCTTCACCACTTAATTCTGGGGAGAAGCTCATTTCATGCTGCACTTTGAAGAAACCACTCCAACAGAGGTTACACACCCACCACTCCTTCCCCCAGGCACTAAATCCCCTCTCACGAACACAACAAAGAAGGAACAAATCTATCAGATGGACAAACTTCCTCCTTGGTTCAGCTTCGAGCTGGTGTGCCCAAGCCAAGCCATAAAGCCCCTGGTGCCTGACAGCAGTTGCCATGTAGCCACTTGGGTTTTGATTACATACTCAGAGCTATTTCGACTAAAAACCAGATAGTATGACCATCACGTGCGCAACACCCAGAGAGAACAAGCCCATTTGTTAACCCTTCTGCTCCGAGACACCAACACACTCACAGCACCGAGGACAGAGCACTAACCACCCAAACCCAAACGCATCACCACCCCCGA